ACACCCCAATAAAATATTTGAGGGGACTGCCCCCCCAAATTGGTGGGCATATTGCCATTCAAATAGTGCGGGTGCACCCCATTATATGATTGATAATGCAGGACAGGGTTTACCTGACACACACCCCCAATTTTTTATTCAAGTTGGCACCTCTGGCACTAGGAGCACAGCTACTACCAAACTTATTTTGAATAAAGCAATCTAATAGAAAACAAATCCATTTCACTGCTGTGTTTATGGAAACTTGGTCTGTTTGATTACTTTCTGTCCAAATCTCAAACTCTACAAAGTAGCAGAGCCATCTGCACACTTAATCTCTACACTTATCCTCGGCATTGACTTCAAAACAGAGTCAGAACATTCTGCCTTCTGAAAATTAGACCCACGGGCTCCATTTATCCTTATCAGGCACTTTTGAACTCAGTCTAATCAAGCTTTCCCCTCAAGTGGTCAGAAGCTTTAATTGTAGAAACACCGTGCCAAACTACATTGCGGCGTGGGGAAAGCCTTTGTTTTCACAAGAAACAAAGCAGTCCAAAGCTTTAAATTCCACTTTGGAATTTGGAGATGGCAGAAAACATTTTCTCCACCATCAGGTTCTTCAGCCTGACAACATAACAGAAATAACTCGCTGGCTAGGACAGAGTTGCATCGCTCTACTCAGCTATGCGTCCAAAGTCATTGTCCAAATCTCCAAACAGCCTTAGAAAGGCCTCAGCAAAGCTACTTCTTTTTACACTGAGCCATAGAAGGAGTCAACAGATTAATTAGGCTATGTGCACATTACTGTTTTAAAACACAGCTTTTTCCTCATTTCAGACTGAAGCTGGTTGCAGGGGCAGGGATGCATCAAAACACAGTATTTCCTAGTAAACGACAGAATAGCGATGGATTGCGACCATCATTATGTCAGCATATGATGGGAGAGTGCACTGGTTGCAGAGTCAACAGGAGCGTCTACACATTTCCCAGGTTTTTCTTAGCCCACTTCCAACCCATCACCAACCCCAGTCACCCGGTTAGGTCCTCTGTTACATCCCTGGAAGTTGATAGAAACTGTTCAATGTGATCCTGTTTAATTAATAAAGCAATTCCTAACTTAAAACACTGTGCAGGCAATGACCGATTTTACACGCGTCTGATGGAACAAGCAATTGCACGGCACCAAAGGGACCTGAAAAAGATCACTAAATAGGGCGAAATGAGGGGTGGAACAAGGGGCAGGGAGGGGTGGGGTGGGGTGAAACGCCCAATTGCCTTCTAAATCCGGCCTGCGGACGGACCTGGAATCAGTGTGTTTTTACATGAGTAGAATGTGTGCTTTTATTTAAAATGCATCTCTGGGTTATTTGTGGGGCATAGGAATTTGTTCATTCCCCCCTCCCCCAGAATATAGTCCGGCCCCCCACAAGGTCTGAGGGACAGTGGACCGGCCCCCTGCTGAAAACGTCTGCTGACCCCTGCTCTTTGCCAATTTAGACATTTCTATCCTGCTTCGTTTTCAGCTACATAACTTGTGGTTAACAACAGAAATATAAATATAAAACAGGGATAGGCCCATTCAGGCTGCAGCCTCTCCCGCTTGCCCCATTCAGGCAGACAGAATCATAGAGTTGGAAGGGACCACTCGGATCTTCTAGTCTAACCCCTGCAATGCAGGAATATTTTGCGCAACACAAGCTCAAACCCACAACCCTGAGATTAAGAGTCTTGTGCTCTACCAACTGAGCTGCAATTAGTTTTGAAACCAGCCTCCCATCAGAGCCAGTGTAAGGCTCTTTTCCAGCCCAATGGAGGTGGCCATTTGCATGGTTTGGGAGGGGGGGGTTGCAGCAATGTGACCCCAGCCCTATGCAGTGTGACCACCATCAATCCCCCCTGCTTGGATTGTTGGAAATGCTCCATTGCCTCCAACAATTGCTGTGTGAGGAGCAATCCACATAGAAACTGCAGTTGGGGAGGGAAGGGTTAGCCGTCCTCAGTTGTAGTCTCCATTGATATCACATTGCCCCTCCAGCAATTAGGCTTTTTAGAAGCTAAAATGGTTTCCCCAACCCCCCCCCCCCAAGTCTAGCTACCAGTAGGGGTGGTGAATTAAGTACGAGAGATTGAATGAATAGGTAGGGTGTACATGTGAGACAGAGAATGAATAAATGCATGCATTCATGTGTTAGGTGTGAGAAAAGGCCTGTGTGTTTTGTGTGGGTATGTATGAATGCATGCATTATTTTGAGTATGAATGCATATCAGTAGAAAACACATGATAAAAGCAGCTAAAATATCCTCGAAAAGCTCAGGAGTTTAAAATGGCCTGAACCTGGTAACTCTAAACTATTACCTTAAACTATGTTCTGAACATTTTGAGGATACTTTAAAGCCGTTTTAAAGTTGGTGGCAGGTGAGGGGCCTTGGGGAGAGCATTCCACAGTTGCATTGCCAACAACGAGAAGGCTCCATTTTGGATCACTACCAACCTTGCTTCTCTTGAAGAACTTCATGAACAAGCAAGCTCATATACGAGCAGGTAATTCAACATATACTCTGGTCCTAAGACTTCATAAGTCAAAAGCAGTATTTTGCATTGTTCCAAGAAATCATTTTCTCCCTCCTGATAAGAATTACGTCTAATAATGGGCGTAGTCAGGATTTTTTTTGGGGGGGGGGGTAAGACTTTAGTTGGGGGGGGCAGAACCAATGTGATTGATCAGTTAATTAAGTAATTCTATTGTTTTACTTGATGGGGGCAGCTGCTCCCTGGCTACGCCCATGCTTCTAATTTTGGAGCCCCACCAGGAGGAAAAGAAAACTGCTGGAGATTGTGAAAGGAAAGAGAGGAATCGGCGCTGCCTCTCATCCACTTTAGATCAGCTCTTCAATCTTTGCTGCATAGTTCCAGATGTTTTGGACGACAACTCCAATCACCCCAGATGGAAGCTGTAGTCCAAAAAATTTTACACATCATTTGGGAAGACAGGCAAACTAATGCCAGTGTACTGGAAGAAGCAAAGATCACCAGTGTCAAAGCAATGATTCTTCAACATCAACTCATTGGACTGGTCATGTTGTGCAGATGCCTGATTATCGACTTCCAAAGCAACTACTCTATTCTGAACTTAAAAATGGAAAGCATAATGCTGGTGGTCAACAAACGAGGTTTAAAGACTCTCTCAAGGCAAATCTTTAAAAATGTAGTATAAACATCAACAACTGGAAAACACTAGCCTGCGAGCACTCCAGTTGGAGAACAGCCTTTATCAAAGGTGTCATGGGCTTTGAAGATGCTCAAACTCAGGATGAAAGGGAGTAACGTGCTAAGAGGAAGGCACACTTGGCAAATCCACACCGTGATCAACTCCTGCCAGGAAACCTATGTCCCCACTGTGGAAGGAGGTGTGGATCCAGAATTGGTCTCCACAGTCACTTACGGACTCACTTTTAAAACCATGTTTATGGAAGACGATCTTATTTGGCTACAAGAAGACTTAGTCCCTGAGACTGATCATCAATACCACATTTGCAAACACGGTGACCAAACTGTTCCATCCCTGAAAGGCTGCTAATTAAAGCATGGGTTGAGCTGCAGAGATAAGGGCAAGCAAGCTCAGTTCAAAGTTGACTGTGATACAGGTATACTAGATCAATCTACATTAGCAAAATAATGGTACTTAACCTTTTGTGCTAAATTAACCTTTCGTGCCAAATGCAAACTGAGTATTATCCACATAATAACTACTACTCCCTATGAGGCTCCTACTCTGTTATGTGGCAGCCTCCTGAATTCTCTCTTATGCAACAGATTTAGACCTGTGTTTTGTCACCACTCAGGAAAGATAGCAGTATTATGAAAGTTATAAATCATGTTAATTAAAACATGATGTAGCTAATATAATACCCCACCTACTTTTTTAAAAAAAAATCAAACAATAAAAGGTGTTTCCACACTGACACTACTTCAATCACATACTAGCAAATTCTGGGAACTGTAGTTTGTCAAAGAGCTACAATTCCCAGCACCCTTAACGATCTACAGTGTCCAGGACTCCTTGGGGGAAATCCTGATCTCATGAGGTGTGAAATTCCATTCTCTGTGTCTCTTTGTTGCAGCCTGCCATCCCCAGCTCACCAAGGTCATCCCCCCCCCCCGCCAGCTTGCTGTCATTCAAAGTCAAAACCCTAAACCTGGCCTTTCCCTCTGCCCGTGATCACCCAGAAAAGGGGGGCGGGCTCTCCCTTGCCTGGCCATCTTGTCCTCTGATGGTTTCCTGCTAAATTTGCCCAGCTGGCTTAACTAAATCCAGGGGGCTTCCATGATTGGCAAACCATGCCTAATTCTAAATTTCACTACATCATAAAACATTTTGGGGGGACGCGAGTGGCACTGTGGTGTAAACCACAGAGCCTTGGGCTTGCCATTCGGAAGGTCGGCGGTTCGAATCCCCGCAACAGGGTGAGCTCCCATTGCTCGGTTCCTGCTCCTGCCAACCTAGCAGTTCGAAAGCACAAAGTGCAAGTAGATAAATAGGTACCACTCCAGCAGGAAGGTAAATGGCACTTCTGTGCACTGCTCTCGTTCACCAGAAGCAGCTTAGTCATGCTGGCCACATGACCCGGAAGCTGTCTTGGGACAAATGTCGGCTCCCTCGGCCAGTAAAGCAAAATGAGCACCACAACCCCAGAGTTGTTCGCGACTGGACTTAACTGTCAGGGGTCCTTTACCTTTAAAAAATAATTAAAAAAACAACACATTTTGGGGGATTTAGCTGACGCCCCCTCCACAAAAAATACATAACACTACAGTGCCTGGAACTCCTTGGAGGAATTAAAGTGGTAAATTAAAGAGTGCTTTAGATTTATGGTGTAGATGTGACTGACCACAGGTTCTCAAAGTGAACTCACCACAGATAAGGTAACTGTAAGCAGGGCCCCTGGAGAAGGTATTGATGGCAATTATAGAACTGCAGAGTTCGAAGGGGTCCTGAGGGTCAACGCAGGAATCTCTTTGTCCAATGTGGGGCTCAAACCCACAACCCTGAGATTAAGAGCCTCATGCTGTTGCGACTGAGCTATCCTGCAGGATCTAATGGAGCTCATATGGAGGTAGGCAATCTTTCAAGCACCCTGGGCCCAAGACACTTAAACTTTTAAAGGCCATGACCTGCACTTTGAATCGATCCCAGAAACAGATGGGCAGCCAACGTAGCACCACCTTTCAGCAGTCGGGGATGTAGTCCAATGACTGGATCACACAAGTCCACCTGAACCCCCGTCCTTCCTGGGCTCACAAAAAAAGCTCCACATTTATTTTCACTTTTGAGGCTCCCTTTTATGTGCCTTCCGCCATTAGTCTTGGGCAGGGGCAATGCATTAATAGAGAAGTTGTCCCTGGGAAAAACAGGCCTATCTCACCTCTGTACTCACAGGGGCAGAGCAATTAAAATTATCTGTCCTGTGGAAAGTGGCAGGGAGAGATCGCTACCGAAAATGTTGTCAAGGGAACCATGGGCACTCAGGCAGCCAAGGAAAACAAGTCATTTGATGATAACAAACCACAACGGCCCAAGTAAACCACAAGCTCTAGTATAGAGAAGCCTGAAAGCCCTCTGGCCTTTTCAAGGCAAAAGCACTCGGCCAGCAATGTAAAGGAGGACCATATGGAACTGGTTACATGGTTCAGTGGACTTTTCCCACATGGGAAAGCCGATGCACCAGAGATCTGCTATTACCCTCACAACGCTTGGGTGCCTGCAGCCTAGATACAGAGAGTAGTCTTCACCTTCCTCTTGCTGTTTACAGGCCAGGCTGGAAGCGAGTGAGACTGTGCACACCCTTTGAAGCACATTCTTCCCCTCAAAGAATTACGGGCACTGTCGTTTGTTTAATGGATGCTGGGTACTGCAACTCTGTAAGGGCTTAATTCTGTTGGGAGCCATCAGAGTGGCTGGGGAAACCCAGCCAGATGGGTGGGGTATAAATATATGATGATGATGATGATGATGATGATGATGATGTAAAGGACCCGACAGTTACATAAGTCCAGTCACAAATGACTCTGGGGTTGTGGCACTCATTTCGCTCTACTGGCCGAGGGAGCCGACGTTTGTCCGCAGACAGTTTTTCCGGGTCATGTGGCCAGCATGACTAAGCCGCTTCTGGCGAAACCAGAGCAGCGCACGGAAACGCCATTTACCTTCCCGCCGGAGTGGTACCTATTTATCTACTTGCACTTTGACGTGCTTTCGAACTGCTAGGTTGGCAGGAGCTGGGACCGAGCAACGGGAGCTCATCCCATCACGGGGATTCGAACTGCCAACCTTCTGATCGGCAAGCCCAAGGCTCTGTGGTTTAACCCACAGTGCCACCCGCGTCTATTATTATTATGAACTACAGCTCCCAGGATTCTTTGAGGGAAAGCCATTGTTTAAAGTGGTGTGATACTTCTTTAAATACATAGTGCAGGTGGGATCCCAGAGATCTTCAAGTATTGATGGGGGTAACAGGGAATGTCTTGTACTGCAACCCTTTGCATGTTTGTCCAGAAGTATGCTGCACACAGTTCAGTGGGTCTTACACCCAAGTAAGCATGTATAGGCTTGCAACCTCAATCAATGAACCGTCATTAATTTCCTTACATAATTCCTGCATGTCTACTCAAAAGTAACTCTTATTGTATTGAACAAAGCTTACTCCCAATAAATCAGTCCTGGATCAACGCATCAACAGAGCCATTAGCCAGTTACAAAGTACTCCTGGAGACTTCTCAAATACTAAGGAATACTAATCTTGCTGGGCTTTCCTTAGCTTGCTGTAACTTTAATGGGATCAAATGTTTCGACCTCTGTGATATCCTGCCTTACATTGGCTAATTGCTCTGATATAAAGATTGAGAAAGCAATTTAATGGCGCAGTCGAAAGGTAGTGACCTAAGAGCTTAAAAAAAAATTGCACACAGTGATTCAGAACAGCATGTCTCCGTTAGTAACTATACACTGCTGCCATAAACAGCCACCTGGCTATTGCTTGATGTCCAAGGCAAAAAACTTTAAACTTCCTCCTTCTGGCATAATCCCACAGAGCCACAGCAGAGGCAGAATGAAGGCTGCAACTTGACACTGCTCAAGAACAGCCTGAAAAAAGCATGGTAGAAAAATCAATCCCTGCTACCATAAAAGCCACGAAGCAATCAACGCACAGCTTTGCGATCACATTCAGGGGGAAAGACATACCTAGTGATCTTGTTACATTCGTTTGTAGGACCAGCTTTTATTATTTCCATTTTGCCACTGACGCATAAGGGCATATTTCCATGGAGAGTTCAGAACAGGCGCAGCTGGAGCAGCGCTTTATGAGCTAAACCAGACGCAGAAAACTCTAGCTTCTGTAACATCCAAAGTGACATCAATAGAGTAAAATCCTGGCTCAAAGACACACACCACTCCCATCAAATCCTCATCACCGTTAGCCTGTGCTCTTTAACTGAGACAGACAGATCCCTTCATGGTAGTCACAAACCAAGCTTCCCTTCCACGCTTTTAAGATGCTGGAGACAGGGGGACTCTGCTGCAGAAATAGTAACTGGCCTTTGACCCCCTGCAAAGCTAGACCATAATACAGCAGAGCCACAGTGTTATGGCAAAGTGTCTAGAAGCAGCAACGCAGGAGTGGGAGAGAACAAGGCTGTATTTACCCAGTTTAGACAGCAGCGCTTAGCTTCCCGCACAGGAACACACACCTGCATGTTCTGACTGTTCTCGTGTGGTTAAGCACCACTGAAAGCCATTCAGATCTTTTCATGAGTTTCGCTGGGCTTTGAGTCAACTGGTGAGAGGCCATTTAAGGTCACTCGGGCCTAATATGAGAAGGGCACATGGGGGAGGAGGAGAAATGAGGCTGCCAGAATTTATCCCCCTTTTAAGTTGCTGCCTTGAAACAATTCCCTAGGTTTTGTTTCTGCTTTGTGTAAGGGTTCCTATGCATTAGCTTGAACTCCTTTCCCGGCTTTGATAAAGGAATGGGACGTCATTGCTCCTGAAACCTTGTACGCTCACTGTTCATTCTTGGGTCAACTCCAGGAGAATGCTTTGTGGGCAGCATGCCTGATGGCAGCTACATTCTCCATGAAGAGTCTCACTGGGTCACAGAGAGCCATGTCTCATCAGCAGCATTTTCATCACACCTCTGGGGTATGTGGACGAAGGCAGGAGGGGGAAACCTGCCTTGGCCATAAAACCATTCCACAGTTGTTGTGTTTAGTATCCTTTTCAAAATCATGTACAAAATATTGTGCAAAATATTGCCGGGAACCTCCGGACTGGCAGCTTTTCAAGACGCTTCCCCAATATAATAGGTGGCATTGTCTATTACCAGAGGCCCGATCCAAACCTGATTTAATTTCCCAATTAATTTCAGTGGATACGCTGTTAGCCTTGTGAACGGATTAACTTCAATGGTTTCCATTGGAATCGTAATTGCTCAAAGTGGCCACAATCACATGCACACTTGGGGGAAAGTAAGAACCAATTCACATAGCTGCACTGTCATTTTGTTGGCACAGATCATTATTAATCAATCAATCAATCAATCAGGTAATCAATTACATTTTTATAGAGGAGATTCAGTATGGATCACAGCAGAGATGTGACTGTTTCGGCATGTACCCAATGGCTGTGTACACAACACACTATTTTTTTAAAGCATATTTTTGAAGCGTGGGGAACTGTAGTTTACCCTTCACAGAGCTATAATTCCCAGCACCCTTAAACTACAGTTCCCAAGATTCTTTGGGGTGGAGAATGTGCTTTGAATATATGGCATGTACACCAATGCTTCAGATACATAGCTTGTTGACTGGACTGGGTTCATATCCCTACTAAGCAATGAAGATCACTAGATGTTCTCTGCAGTGATACCATGAGAAAGATGCTTGGCATTAGGGCAGTTTGGGGCAGCGATACAGGTGAGGAAATTCTTTGTCAATGGGACAGCATTTGTATGGTGAAGCTCCTGCCATTTGTTTCTGTGTATATCTGTGTATACATCAAAAAACAATCCACAGATAGCATGATACCCCAGTGAGAGCAGTGTGGGGAAACAGCTACAAAGGTGCTGGAAGTCCTCGTGTGATTAAAGGTAAAGGAAAAGGGACCCCTGACCATTAGGTCCAGTCGTGGCCGACTCTGGGGTTGCGGCGCTCATCTCGCTTTACTGACCGAGGGACCCGGTGTACAGCTTCCGGGTCATGTGGCCAGCATGACTAAGCCGCTTCTGGTGAACCAGAGCAGCACACGGAAACGCCGTTTACCTTCCCGCCGGAGCGGTACCTATTTATCTACTTGCACTGGTGTGCTTTTGAACTGCTAGGTTGACAGGAGCAGGGACTGAGCAACGGAAGCTCACCCCGTCGCGGGGGAACCGCCGACCTTCCGATTGGCAAGCCCTAGGCTCTGTGGTTTAACCCACAGTGCCACCCGCGTCCTGCCTCATGTGATTACTTTGTGTTAAAACTGGAAGTTGCTGTGCATCACATTGAAAATTATCATTGGATATTAGCAGTGTAATTGCTGGAAGATGAAAGCATATCAAAAAAGACTTCTTGGGGCTGTAACTAAAATCTGTCACATACCAGCTCTGATCGTGTTCTTCAGCTGTTTCAATAAATCCCGCTAGTTGCTCATTTCCACTCTGAAAGCTTCTGGTGTGTCAGTAAAGCCCCAATATGTCTGCTGAGTGTCATATGATACAATTCATCATGCTATGTCTGGAGACCTCTGTGCAAGATGAAAACTGGTTTCTTTTGCTTCTCATGGAATTGGGTGCTTTTCTTTTTTGATAGTAAAAATAAATGCATGTAACCAATTCATGGCTGCAGCAGGAGTAGAAAGGTTGTGTTGTGTTACAACAACTCCCACCAACAAGTCTTAGGAATACGATAAAGTCCATATCACACTACGTAACATTACTGGTCCGCCAAGAGCATTTTAGGAATATAATTTGTCTCAGGGTCAAGAAAAATGGTCAGTATGTCTTGTAAACTGTAAGATGGCTTTAACTGTTCTATCTAAACTTTCAGAACACCCAAGG